ATATATATATATATATATATATATATATCTTACTAATTGAAATATAATAACTAAAGTTACATTAAAAAAATATGTAGGAAATGACATGTCTCGTATTTATAAAAAAATAAAAAAACAAACCTCATGTAAAATATATTCCAATGCAATATATGTATTGATAGAAACATGTACTTTGTTTATTTTATTTTTTTATACTTCTTAACTTTTCTTTTACAAATAGGAAAATAAGGTTTAGCATTCTTAAAATATTAATCAAGAAGATAAATGTAGAAAGTATCTAGTGACAATGAAATCATCAACTATATTAAAAATATTAAAATATTTAACATTTTTTAAGTAAGCAAATTTGATGGACACTTTTAAAGAAATTAAAAAATATTTTTATTTATGAAAAGGTATTTATTACATCAAAGTTAAAAAAATATATCTTTATTATTTGTATTTTTAGCACAAATATTAACCGGGCGAAAGATGTAAAAGACAAAATATAACATTTTTTAAAGTCACAATTTGCGACAAAAGTGTTCTAAAATGGAAAAAAAAAATGGTAAAACAAAGTTAGAAACTACTAAAATAATATTATATATAAAATAAGCTTAATTTTTGCCTTAAATCAATTTATAAGCCAGTCAGAATCAGCTATAAACTATTAGAGTGACTAACTAAATATACTCTAAGAAAAAAAATTCAATATTAATTGTTTAGGTAATTAAAAATTAATAAATATATCTAATATTTTTAATTGATATCTTTAAGGCACTTATTTACAAAACTGGTATAAGCAATTAAAAATATTTAATGAAGAGTACAAGGCATATTAATTATATCACTAGTATTTTAGCATGTATAATACATAGATTCAATATTTATTATATTTAACTAAAATTTATAATAAATTATATATACAAATAAATATTATGTTTGAATATACATATTATATTTAAAATTTATATAAATAAATTTTTTAAATATATAAATTAGATTTAAATTTTTATAAATAATTTATATTATAACATAATATTATTTTTATTTATTGATAATTTATTTTTAAAAAAATATCTAAAAATTTATCATTAAAGAAAAATAATGTAAAAATATTTTTATATAATATATAAATTTGTGTTTAATATATAAGAGTTGATTTTCAAGTAATTAAAAATATTTATTAGAAATTTTTTTGTAAAAATAGATATTTTAGTGTAATGCATTCTTGAGTCACATTAACGATACTTTAAAAATAATATTTATTAGTTCTCCTCTCACGTCAATTCAATTCAATTGGTTAAATTGTGAGTTTATAAATTTGATTGTTCATCAGGTACTTCATTTTTTCTTAGTCATGAAATGGGGGGCTAATAGCTTGGTCCTTAAGTAAATGAAAGGTGTTTGATTTTTGGCTATGTTAATAGAATAAACTTAGACTCAACTTGACCGATTTATATTTCATTCGATTTAATTTAAAGTTAATTTGGGCGAATTTAAGTTTTAAGATTGAATTTAGTGTACTTTTTTATAATGAGTTTAAATTACATTTTAGATCATTTTAATATAGTTTAATATATATATATATATATATTTAAGTATAATATTTTTCTTTAAAATTTATGTGCATTTATGATAAAAAAAATTATTTAATTATTATATTTTTATAACATAATATTATATGTATAATAAAATTATTTATTTTAAAATATATTATAAAAATAATTTCATTTAAGTTTTACACTTCTTTTTATTTTACCAATTAACTATATTAAATGTTTTTTTACACCATATTAAATTTAAAATTATTGTTGTGAAATAAAGTCAAACCAACCTTATATAAATATTTTCATGTCTCGATCAAATTTGATTTGAGGTTTAAAAAATGGCTCGATTAAAAATTCAATTCAAGTAAGGTTAAAGATAAATCCAACTTATGTTCACCCTCATAGCAAAATATGTGAAAAAAAAAAAGTTTTTTTTCCTTAATTAATACTCTACTATGTCGAAGACTTGGTGTCTTTCGTCTTTCCTTATCTCATCTCTAAACTTTTAATGTTTTTTTTCAAAAAAAAAAATTATAATTCACAAAAAGTTGTTTTGTTAGATAAGAAGTTTCATAATTTAAGATTTAATTTCTAAATGTATATAATAAAATTTTTCAAGCAAATAAAATTTATTTTAAAGACCTTTTCCTAGATATTAGAATTGTTAACAATCACTACAAAATAAGCTCTTAAGATAATGTAACGACCCAACTGGTCACTACACACAGCACAACACACCAGAACATCACACAGAAAGGAACAAGTGTACACATATAGTGTCTAGAATATATATATATACAAGGTCCAAGTCTGACTAGAGTCAAAGTGTACAAAATATAAAAATCGCTACTGCACCAAGTAGCTAAAACAACAAAACACCCGAAAGGATCAGCTCTATCTGCCAGTTGCAGACTTACCACCATCCACCAACCTATCCCTGCTCTGCTCCCATATAACAGTATGATCATCGCAGTCCAAACACAATGAAAACAACAAAGGGTAAGCTAGTGAAAAGAAATCAACATACATATATAACAATATGAATGGTAAACAGCTACAACTATCAGCACATCAACTAGCTTATACTACATCACAGCATTCACCAATATCAGCACCGCAAAGCGGCAATATCAGCACTGCATAGCAGCAATAACACCACCACTCTAGTGGCTATAACAGCACTGCTTAGCGGCAATAACAACACCGACTTAGTGGCAATAACAGCACCGACTTAGTGGCTATATCAGCATACAACTCAACATCAAACAACACAACCAAACAACTCACGGCTGAGCTAACATAGCTCAAAACAGCACAGCAAATTAGCATACAGCACAGCTAAGTAGTATACAACACAGCTCACTACTCACAACTCAGCTTAACAG